TCAACAAAATGCGTTGACACAGTAACAATGGACTCCAGAGTGTCAGAGACTGTGAGGATGGCACAGGACAGAGCAAGTTTCTGATCTATTGTTCATAGGGCTGCTGTGAGTCATAGTTGACTTGATGACACATAATAACAACAAAATAGTAGATGATCTTGGATTATCTGCACAAGACCAATGTAATCACAACTCCCCCAAAATGCAGAAAAGCAGGCACAAAAGAACCAGATACTGGCAGAGTGAGGACTCAGCCTCGGTCGTTGACTTTGGTTACAGAATAACAGGCCCACGAGGCAAGGAAGGCAGGCAGCCTCAAGAAGCCCCAAAAGGCAAGAAAACGCCCTTTCCCTAGAACCTCCAGAGGGAATGGGGCCCCTGCCAACTTCTTAACTTTAGCCTAGTAAGACATTTTTTGTCTTCTGACATTTAGAATTATAACATAATAAATTAATTTTCTTTCCCCCCCAATCTTCAATTTATTATGAGGATGATACAGAAACAGACAGTATTCCATTCCCTTGTGCATGGGGCACTATGAGTTGGTGAAGATCACAACAAAAACAATACTATTTATAATTGTACCCTCAGCAACATTCATAATATCTGGTAACTGGAGGCAAGCAGCAGAATGAGTTCTTCCCCTTTTTTTCTCCAAGTCCAGCTCTCTGCACATTCCATTTTAACACTTTTTTAAGCTGCCCTTTGAAATTGTCTGTTTAGCTCTTTTATTTTGTCATGTTTTCATTTATATTTTGCTTCTTGATGGTACAGTGCAATCTTCAGAGTCATTTCTGACATCCAATTCGATTTTTTCCTTTCTCCTGTTTTTGTAATGACCTTTTGCTTTCTTCATATATGATATTATCACACAATTCATCTGGTCTTCTGTTATGCCTCAAACCTATTCTTAAGATGATCATGAAATTCAAATGGAATTGATTCTAGATCATATCTTGGTTCCTTGGACTTTTCATTTTCTTTAGCCTCATGATCTGACCCACCGTCTGCTGCTGGCCTCATTTTGACTGCTGAAATGGAGCTTCTCCAACAATTTCTTCCACAAATGTAGTCAATCTGATTCCTGTGCAGCCCGTCAGGTGAAATCCACATGTGAAGTCATCTTTTGTGTCTTTTAGAAAAAGTTGTTGTTGACTGCCTTCTGGTTGAGTAGGACTCATAGTAATTCTATGAACAAAAGGCCTGAACCTTTTCTACAACTATCAACATCTATCAAAGTTCACAGAGTTTCTCATAGTATGTTATCATTGTTATGTGCCATTGAGTCACCTGCGATGCATAGCAACCCTAAGTACAGCAGCTCTGAACCCTTGCCTGTTCTGAGCCAGTCTGATTCTGGCACACCAACCCCCGCACTGCCCCAGTTACTGTATCAATCCATCTCATCCGAGGTCTCCCTTTACTGCGCTGTCTGTCCATGCTTCCGAGCATGATGTCTAATGAATGAGAGAAGGCGGCAGGTGTGGGATTAACTGGGCCTTTAACCCCATGGAGATTCCCTCCTACCCTCGGCTGGGCCTCGCAGGGACCTGTAGGCACACGTTACGAACCCCCCAAGTCCCTTCCAGTGGTTGCGGACACTCCCGTCCAGGTCAGCAGCCCTCAGTGAGACCCCGCCACCTCAAAGGCCAGAGCTCATGCCCCCACCCCACAGGAGAAGGGGATCACGCCTGACCACCCCCCAAACGGCGAGCAGAGTAGAGTAGCCTTTTGCAGCCGCTGACCCCTTTGGCAAGCCATGTGCAACACCTCACCCGGCGGCACCATTCTTCCATAAATCCAATTTCTTCTAAGCTCTAAGTTCATATGTAACGTTGTGGCAACATTAGAAATCTAACATATGTTCTGTCCTGTAATTTAATGTCTTATTTCTAAAAATATGAACTGCCATGAGGAACCAGAGGGACAAAGGAGCAGCAAATACCTGTCCCATAGGAGCTCAGTAAATGTGTTTCTGGCTTCCTCTTTCCTTCCAGGTTGGCAAAACACAGGGAAGGCAGGTAGGAGCCTCATGCTCTTTGCTCTGACGTCAACTGTGCTAAGGAATTCCCTCACTGAGCTCCCAAGCTCACTCTATCTGGAACATTCGGGCTTCTTAAGTGTTTTTGGGGAGCCTACAGGACCCACCTCTCCTGATGAAAATCCTGTTCAGAATACAAAAGCTCTTTACAAAAGCCAGAGAGGCGAGGCAAGAGCCGAGCCAGAGCTACACTCTGTGAATGAACTTTGACGGAGGAAAAGAGGTTTGACCATCTGTAGCTCTATTGAGAATCAGTTTTGTGGAATTCATTCTAACTCCTGGTGAGCCCACATGTCTCCAAACTCACTCACTTTTGAGACAGAATTGACCCATAGCTGACCACCCCCTCCCCCCCAGGATGTTTTTGGAAACTGTAAAGAACAACGAAGGAGACTGCTCATCTGTCTTATAGAGGCTGGTAGATTAAAAATAACAGAGAACCACAACCATGGACTGCCAAACAGATTCATCCTGAAGAGGGTTAAACCAGACTACTCCTTGGAGGCAAGGATTCGTCTGACATACTTTGGACATGTTGTAAGGAGGGACAGATCCTTGGAGAGGGACATCATGCTTGGGAGGGTGGAGGGACAGTGCAGGAGGGGAAGACCCTCTATGAGGTGGATTGATTCAGTGACTGGGGTAATCAGGATGGGTGTGTCAGAGGCAGTGCGACTAGCACAGGATAGAGCACGGTTTAGGGCTGTTGTACATAGGGTTGCTATGAGTTGCAAACAACTCGATGGAACATAACCACCACCACCTTTGGGATGGCAGCACACCTCCGGATGGACAATGCCAGCAGAAATAATCATGTGTGCCAGCCTAGAAATGTGTTCTATCAGTATGTTCTCACTGGTTGATATTTTCAGAAGTATTCACAAGATTTTCTTCCCAGGCAATGTTAGCAGTGGAGTGCATCAATCATTTTATATCCTGATGTTGTTATATGCCATGGAGTTGCAACAGACTCATAGCTAACCTGCTAGTGGCTTTTCAGAGGTTGTAAATCACATGGGAGAAGACGGGCCAACCTTCTCCCTTGAAGCACCTGGTGGATTTGAACCACCTGCCATTGAATTGGCAGTACAACTCATTACCACTAAGCCAGAAGAGCTGGAAAAATCAGGAGGTGAGATAAGGCAATTCAAAGGGACCAAGCATGGGGTTGCTGCTCTGTCCACCCACACGCTCCAGATGAATACCCCTCAAACATTACAGGCTTCCAATTCCTTGATTAGTTGTGTTATGAGCTTTTATTTCAAAAGCAAATTTAATACAAGTATAGTTTCGCAGATACAAGTTTTCACTTTGTATTCTACAAAAGTCTTTGAATATTATTCTCTTTACAAAATGGAACTTACAAAAATACTGACAATTTAATGTGTTGTTTTTTTTATACACTTTTTTCCTAGTTGCAGTTATTTCTCTCATAAAACAATGTCTACCACAGAGCTAAGTTACCTTAGTTGATATTAAAAAAAAATTAACTTGATGCTTTTTTAAGCAGCTAATGTAAATAACACAGGTCGAGACACAGTTTATAATCATAGTGGATATAGCTAGAACTGTTTCAGAAATAATATTTTACATAGTTAACTTTTAATGTTTTATACATTATTTATATAATATTTATATATAAAAATCATAGCTTGCTATAGTTGAAATGAAAGGACGGATGTACATGTGGTTGGTGAATGTGGTTACATTTAGCCCTTTGAAAGGTTTGTATCCAAGATCTAAAAGTGTTTCTTCCTTCCTCCTTTCTTCGAAGGTTCAGTAGAAGGGGTCCCTGGGTACTGCCTAGGGTGAGACCTTGCTTGGAAGGGCTCAGGGATAGAGGATGAGGAAAACTCTCTAGGGACATTTAACCCATATGTTCTGCCCAGCAGAACCTACCAAGAGCTGCCCTAGAGATCAACCCCAAGACAATAGTGCTTTACACAGCTTAACAAGAACGACCCCCCGTGAGCTCTCCAAGGGTAGCCTCACCTGCAGGCTACTCTCACTCTCTTCTGCTACTCGGTCTCCTTCTGACTTCGAGTAGCCAACAGATCGGTTCATTTTCATTCCGCCCATTTCGCTCCCTCATCTCTTGTCCAGAAGGTCACTTCCTCTCACCCAGCGACGAGCCACGCCTTTGCTCATCTCTGGACTCTCACAGGTAGGAACACACAGCAAGGATACCAAGGGAGAAGGCAGTCACCAAAGTCTAACCGTTTCTAAGAGTGTGCGAGTGCCCTGTGATTGGTGTGCACATCATCAGCATCCTGTGACTGTCAGCTCAACATCACAGGCTGATGCGTCAACAGAAGACAAATCAGGGGCTGTGGCCTCTATCGCTCCTGAAATTGTGCTATTTGTGAAATCTGCTCATCCACAAAGAGTCTCCTAATCACTACAGTGAGGGACTGTGGCTACAGGCCTGTGGGCTGGGGAAGCGATAAGGCCTCAGGACTGGGAATCTGGATTTAGGAATAATGCGCTTGAGCAAGCTTGCTCTTCCTTTTGTCTGAAAAACATTAAACTAACTTCTTGAACCAAAGTCACAGTAAAGAATAGAGTCGGGTGGACTTAGAGAGGCAGGAGGGGAGCCCCTCCTCCACCCACTACCAATGGCTATTTTCTTGATTCAGTGCTATTTCTGGCATCGTGTATTACCATGTGAATTTGCTCTTTCCTCACAGGCCTGGGATTCCTCTGGTCACAAAGGTGACCAACACTTTCCTCAAATCATTTTAGTGTTTGTTCCAGAACGAGCTTGTGTTCACTAGAACATGAACACTTAAACCAATTGCACATCCAGGGTTCCGGCACTTGGTGTTAGTTTACTGTTGTTTCCACATAGGTGAACACTACCTATCTTGGAAGGCCACAAAGTAAGACACCTTTTTTTAATTTTTTTTTTCCTTTTAAAAATCAGTCAGGCAAAGAAAGTTTCTTTGTTTTTGTTTTTTTTTTTTCTCCTACATTCTACTGTCTGATGAGATTGAAGAGCAGCAAGAAATTGCTGTCAGCAGTCATTTTACAGAAACAGCTCGAGAGGTGGGTGGCACCTACACCATGTTGTGGTGGTTGTTCCTGTCAATGATATCCACAGGAGAGAGGATTTCCTTCCTGATAGCAGGTGGAGGCAGAGAGAGCGTCGTCTTGTTCTTGAAGAGGTCAGACACGAAGAAAACCTAGAACCACAAACCAGAGATCCAAGTCAGTAATGGGTGCCTGAGACTGGGGACAACACATAAAGGCAGAGAGAACATCACAGCAACATGATCTTTAGGAACAAGGGGCTCTAAAGCATGGACATCTCAATAGTGAAAGGCAGTGGAGATCACATAGCCCAATATGTATTGTGGAGATAGTGAAATGAGCCCCAGGAAAGGGGAATTGTGTGTCCTCAGTTGCTCATCCACAGTTGCACTGGGGACCAGCTCTTCTTGGTCCATTATTTTCTTTATCTGCAATCCCTACATCCTTACTTCTCAAGGCAAATGACCAGCAATGACATACAGAAGTTATCAAACAAAGGAAGCAAGTCATAATTCCTCACAGTCATTTTTCCATTTTCCCTTTCCTTGCAAAGGCACTTGGGTGTTACCAAAAAAGATCAGCCAATATGAATTCATATCAGCAGGAGGAAGAATAAGAAAAAGATAGGGCCCACTTTTTCCTGAACATCCAGTGAGATTATTGAGTCCTGATGAGGGTCAAGAAGCCAGGGTCATATTAGGGAGTCAGCAACTAACTTAAGGAAAAGTCAGCAAAAAAACCCATCACTCACTCCCCAGCCCTTCCTCCTCCTCCTCCGCATGTGATGTCATTAAGCCTTTAGTCTTTATGAAATTGCTGAGAAACATTTACTGAATTCCCACTTGTAAGGGTATAATGATGCCTCAGGCTTAGTTTCTGCTTAATGGATTTATGGTGACAGCCAAGAACTTAATAAGTTGCTGAAGAAAAACCTATACTTTGTATTACATGGCTCACTAAGTGTACCCACTGCTTACACAGTGATCTAAATGTCATCTCAAAAATTGTCACTAAAAATCTACTATATGACTCATTTTCTCACTAGTGACATACATCAGGCAGTAATGAATGCTGCCAGCATGTGAGGGGTAAGAGTCACATGGACTGTGATACTTATTGTTAAGTGACAACTTGTCTAGGAAGCCATATAATAGTGCTGTCATCCTCCTTTCTTATCATTTGATGTGATCACCCTCTATTTTTGCGTCATGCCCATTTTTATCTAATAACCTGGTCTTTGGAACCTAACTATGTCAGAAAGTGAAAAGTAGGTGTATACACGAGTACACTTGAGCCATGTGGCAACAAGAGTTTATATTGAAGAGCTATTAAAAAAAAATCACTGCCAACATGTCAATTCCAAATCATAGCAACTAGCTATGAGGTTTTCAGGCTCAGAATCTTTACAAGAGGAGAATGCTCATCTTTCTTCTGCAGAACAGCTTGTTGATTCAAATTGTAGATAGTGGACCACATGATAACAGTCTGCTACCAGAGCTCCACTAAGTAACTGTGAGCAGCAGGAATAAAGTTGTGTAATTTCTAGGAATCACTTGACTGGGTAAAACTCCTTCAAGATTTTGGCATCCAACAGCTTTCTAAAGTGAAAATTCTTTGTCTTAAAGATGTCTTATGTGCTCTTTAATAATGTCGATATTGTGGATTTTGTCCAGGTCACGCTATTGTGCACTGTCAAATGAATTTCAACTCTTAGTGACCCTAAAGGACAGAGCAGACTTGCCCCAAAGTGTTTTCTAAATTATAAGTCTTTATGAGAATGAAGTCATCAGGCCTTTCCTCCCATGAGGACGCTGGTGGGTTCGAACAGCTGACGTTTGGATTAGCAGCTGGACATATAATCATTATATCACTAGGGCTCCTTCCTGGTCACATTAGAGGCAATGAAAGGAAGTGTTTCATAAAACACCATCAAAAATTGAGCACACACAAAATAGGATCAGCAAATCAAAAACTCCCACAACACTCCTTACATAGTAACACAACAATGAACACAGGACCACAAAAATCACAGCAGGAACCAGTCAGAGGGTTCCTGCAAGAGAGAGGAGCGGGGAGGCTACAGGACACAGGCCAGATGAAGGCATACTTGTCATGGCTCTCAATCCACTAGGTCACCAGGGCTCCCCTTCCTTCTTTTCAGGGAAATCTTGTTTGGTGACACCTTTTCTCCATATGTATTTCTCTCTGCTGAGGGCAAATACCACCAAAAGTCTCCCTCCCACAAATCAATTCCTCTTTTCTATATTGGCTTGGTTCCCAATTTTGTTTTCTGGGCTCATAACCACTTCATATGAGGGTTTGTTTCCTAACTTTAAGGTATGACAATTGAAGGCAATACTGGGGTTAAGAAGACCTGAAATAGCTCTCGCTCTTTCTCTCCTTTTCTGCTGACACTAAGGATTGGGTTCACCCCTGTCTTTCCAGGAGTCCTTTACCCCTTTTCCTTCTTTCTTTTTCGTATGCATGGCCTACCTTTTACTGCCTATGCCTCTGTTTAACTACCTTAATAAACCTTTTTCACTGGTTTTTCCAAAAAATAAAAAAAGAGAAAAAAGGACCTAAAACCCAGTCTGGTACTTAGATGAATAAGATATTCCTATGCATCACATACTACGGGCATGTTGCTAGGAGGGGCTATTCCTTGGAGAAGGACATAATGCTGGGAAGGGTGGAGGGTTGGCAAAGGAGAGGAAGACCATCAACCAGGTGGACTGACATAGTGACTGCTGCAATGGGATCCTGAGTGTCAGGAAGTATGAGGATGGTGCAGGATAGAAGAGGATTTAGATCTTTTGTTCATACGGTTGTTATGAGTTGTACTCAACTCAATGACACATAACAACAACAATATCTATTACTCTAGACACTGAAATAAATCTGGGCCCAAAGTGAGATGCCAAAACAGTCTCTCAAGCCACCAAAAGTTGGCTTGTAAGTCTTTATTCCTAGCTAAGAAGTTTCTTGAAGGCACAATCCTAGTCTTATTCAGCCTACATCCCCTATAACACTTAGCATTGGGTCTTGCCCATGGCAGGGGCTCAACAAGTGGTTTGAATTTCTAAACTGCTGGAAGCAAGCACACTGGCCTTGGATCTTATCAGCACGTAGAACTCCTGCAGACTTCAGGGAGAACCACGTACTCACAGGCCCCATGCACACAGCCCAAGGGTAAGATGCAAAGTTGAGCCCAGTCCAGTTAGAAACCCCATTTCAGCGGTATTTTGCTTTCACCATAGCTTGAGGTTACACAAACACTTTTTGGGGATCATAAAACACGATCCTGTCAGACTTAAAGAGGGCTCAGTTCTCCCAAGACCTGAACCACAGAACACAAAAAAGGACGAGAAAAAGTGAAAATGTCTTGGAGCAGTTCCATTTCCTGCTGAAGATGATCTCCACCCAGAAAGAAAACCCAGGGGCCCAGGCTGGGAAGGGTCCACACACACTAAGTAGCTATCTTAGATCTCGGGCACAAACCCAGTCCCAGGCCACAGTCATACATACTACACACATTTCCCCGGCTGTATGAACGAACACATTAGACAATAAATACAGCCTCAGCAAACATGAAATCTATACCCTAAGTGCCAAGAAGTGTTCTAAGTTACACAGCCCAGAGCATTTCTCTCCCTTCAATTTCATTTCCCTGATTCTTTACATGGTATAAATTACTTCTTAGGAGAGAAGAATGAATACAGCCAGTAAATAGCTATTGAGTGCCTGCTCTGTGCCAAGCTCTGTGGTTATAAATATCAGTAAGTCAGAGACCTTGCTTTCCAGGGGCTCGCAGCCTTGCAGTGAGGGAGAGACCCTGGTAAACAGACAACGATAATAGAGTGCATTTAGGATTATGATAGAGGGAAGCCAGGGTGTTAAAAAAACATAGAGAATGTGGCATCTAACCCAGACTGAAGGGAAGGGCGGAGGGCCATCGGAGGCTTTTCCCCAAAGGAGGTATGTTTGAGCCTAGCTTTGAAGGTTAAGTAGGAGTTAGCCAGGTGGTGAATGCCAGGAATGTTGTTATAGGCTGAGGCAGCAGCGTGCGCACAAGCGCTGGAGTGAGTGAGCACAGCACGTCCAGAGAACTGCGAGAAATTCAGTATGGCTATGGCAGGCCCAGTCTTTGAAAAGCTTTCTACAGTGCATCATGTCTCAAGAAGTTCAGACCTTATTCTCTTGGTTCTAGGAGCTGTTGTGAAGGCCCACGCAGGGAAGCACCTTTTTTAGGAAGACTTGCATTAAGATAATATTGGTATCCAGAAAAGAGAGGTTATTATTGCTAGTGCTGTTGAATTGATTTTTGACTCACAGCAACCAATGTGATAGAGCAGAACTGTCCCATAAGGTTTTCTAGGCTACACTTTTACAGGGAAGGGCCAGGCTGAACCAGTGGTTAAACACTAAGCTGCTAATAAAAAAAGTCAGTGTTTCGAATCCACCAGTGACTCCATGGGAGAATGATGTGGCAGTTACTTTCGCAAAGATTACAACTTTGGAAACTTTATGGTGCAATTCTCTCCTCTGTCCCGTCAAGTTCATTCTGAGTCAGAATGGACTTGACAGCAAAGGGTTTGTGTTTTTGTTTGTTGGTTGGTTGGTTGTTTTAGATTAATCTTTATGGAAGCAAAGTGCCTGGTCTTTTTTTCCACAGAACTACTGTGAAGTACAAAGCTTTTGGTCAGCAGTCAAGTGCTTAATCACTCTGCCACCAGGGTTCTGAGTATAGAAAGGGTTGGCAAAGGATACAGTAAACCTGAAGGCAGTGCAAAAAGGAGACACCAATGCAGTCAAGGACAGCATGGGATGGATGGAGTGATTGCCAGGCCATGGAGACAAGAAAGACAATATGGATTGAGATACTAGGGATAGAATAAAGCTTTTAGAGATGGCCTGCATGTGTGTGGCTGGGAGCATGGCAGGAGGTAATACTTTTATTTCCACTTTTGTTCTTTCTACATTCTTTTTACAAACTAGACTGTTTGTTTTATGACATTATCACTGATTAGTATGATTACTCTATTGCAATGTCAAATCAACTTCTGTTTCACTTCTGTCCTTAACACTGAAGCAATGTGCACTTGTTACCATAAAAATGCTTCCAGTTTGGACAACCATGTTTGGAGGAAAACAC